TGAGGACAGAACTTCTGGTTATGGAAGGTGTTCCCTAGCATACAGGGAACATGAAGGATCATGGACTGCATGTTCTGCTAGTCTTCTGAGTGGGAATTCATGTGCCAGAAAACATGGGTGTGGTTCATCCGGCCCCCAGTCCAAGAGAGCAGAGCTCCTGCCTCAGGCGGTTCAGAGACGACACAGGAGGGGAAGATGTTACAGGCCACTGAGTGGGTGAGAGTTAGGGCTGGCCACACTTCTGGTCACCAAGAGGTTGTGGGGAACAAGGGAGGATCCCACAGTTCTTGTTGCGAGCCACCATTGTTGCCAGACAGCTGTCTGGATGGAATGCGCCTTACAAAAAGTTCAAGATGACCACATCTTATCTGGCTAGCTTATAATTCACCCTTCTCTCTCCTCTTTCACAGTTTTTGTTCAGGTTTTTCCTCCTAGTTGATATTTAATCCACTTCTCTATCCTTTCCTCAGAAGCTCAGGATTCCAAGATTATCATTTGTATGTTTCATTAGGTCTCTCATGACTTTGATGTAGAAGGTCTATGTAGCATGTCTGCCTAGTTCGCCATCTAGCCAGAAGTCTCCCCAGGCATATCTGAGTGCCTTCTAGCCTAAGTGGCCATCTTCCAACAATATATCAGACTATGTTTCACTGTTATTCATAAGTTTCCAATATCACAGCAATAGGCAAGCCACTACAGTACAACAAATTTTCAAATGAGTGGATTATTTGTCATTAAAAACAAACAAACTCACTGCCATCGAGTTGATTCCAAATCAGAGTGACCATATAAAGACAGAATAGAGCTGCTCCTCTGTCATGTCTATCTATATAGATAGGCAGGATAAAGTATCCTGATGAGAAAACAACGGGACTAAAGGTTCCAGGGAGGTAGGGGAGAAGAGGAAGTGTGGGAAAATGAAGGGGGAGGCAACAACTCAGGGACAAGGGAACAGCAAGAGATCTAAAATCGATGGCCCGGAGGGCATAGAATGCCTGGTGGGATTCGATCAAGTGCACTGTAGCTGAGAGGAAGTACAGAGAGCCAAATGAAGGTCAAACGTGATTGTGGGAAAGGAGGAAAGTAAAAGGAAATAGAAGAACTAGAAGGCAAAAGACATTTTTAGAGGTATAAACATACCTCTATAAATGCACATATGTGATAGATATATTACATATATATCAATATATAAAATGCAAATATATAACAATAGGGATATTGGTCTATGTACATAAATTTATAGGTTAAATATTAAAGTAGCAGACAGACATTGGGTCTCTACTCATGTCCTCCCTCAACATAAAAACACTCATTTCTAATAACCTGGCATTCTGTGATGCTCACTTTTCTGACATGATTGCTGAAGACAAAATGGGTACATAAGCTAATGTGGTGAAGAAAACTGATGGTGCCCATCTATTACAAGATCTAGCAACTGGGCTCTTACAGGCTTTAAGTTGAATAAGTGGCCATCTAGCAGGGAAGCAACAAAACCCACATGGAAGCAACAAGCCAACCTGTGTGATGATGAGGTGTCGATGGGATAAGGTATCAGACATCAGAAGACCCAAAACAAACAACCATTTAGATGTGAACGAGGGGAGGTTGGAATGGAGACCCAAAGCCCATGTGTAAACAATTGGACATCCCCTCACAGAAAGATCACAAGGAAGGGATGAGCCAGCCAGAGTGCAGCAGAGCACCAATGAAACACAACATTCCTCTAGTTCTTTAATGCTTACTCCCCCACCAACTATAAGGACCCCAGTTCTATCTTACAAATATGGCTAGACCAGAACATGTACCCTGGTACACATAAGAGCTCTTGACACAAAGAATCCAGGACAGATAAACCCCTTAGGACCAATAATAGGAGTAGCAATAGCATGAAGGTAGGGGGAAGGTGGGGGGGGTTAAGGGGGAGAAGGGGAAAACGATCCCAATGATGGACATATAACACCCCCCCACCCTCTGTGGGGACTAATAACAGAAATGTTGGTGAAGGAAGACAGCTGATGGTGTGAAATATGAAAATAAAAATAATTTATAAATTATCAAGGGCTCACAAGGGTTGGAGGGTGGGGGAGGGAAGGGAAAAAAGAGGAACTGATACCAAGGGTTCAAGTTGAAAGAAAATGTTTTGGAAATGATGATGGCAACATATGTACAAATGTACTTGATACAATTGATGTATGGATTGTTGTAAGAGCTGTAAGAGCCCTCAATAGAATGATTTATCAATTTTTAAAAAAGAAACTTCCCCTATGGGTTTCTGAGACTGTAACTCTTTACAGGAGTAGAAAATCTCATATTTCCCCTGAGGAGCACCTGGTGGTTTCAAACTGACAACCTTGTGGTTAGCAATCCAACTTGTAACCCACTATGCCAGGGAAATGAAAATAAAAATCTTAATGAGAGATCATTTAACCCCCACTGAGATGGCTGTGATCAGAAAAATGGAAAACAAAAAAGTTACCAAGTATGTTGAGAAGTTGGAACCTTCATTATTTACCATGAGATTGTAAAATGCTGTAGCCAATATGGAGAAGTTTGACAATGCCTCAAAATGTTAAATATATATGGGGGTGTTAGAGCAACAGTAATCTAAGAGGAATTACTAAGAGGCAGAAGAAGGGCGAGTGTGATGGTGGGAACAGGAAACAGAGGAAAGATCTAGGGAGCAAAGCTGTGGATAGAGATATAAACATAGGTGTGTACACATGTAAATATATTAATTCATAAAAATAGAAGTATTGGCATATGTACATGTATTTATATGGCAATACACTGAGGTAGTGGCTTAAGCTCTGTCTCAACACAAGAACACTTTGTTCTAACAACCTGGCATTCTCTGATACTCATCCTCCCGTCACAATCACTGAAGACAAAATGGGGGCACAAGCAAATGCAGTGAAGAAAGTTGATGGTGCCCGGCTATCAAAAGATATAACATCTGGAGTCTTAAAGGCTTGAAGTTAAATAAGCGGCCATCTAGGTTAGAAGCAACAAGCCCACAAGGAAAAATCACGCCAGCCTGTGAGATGAGATGCTGATGGGATCAGGAAACAGGCATCAGAAGACCCAAATTAAATGAACAAACACAAAAAACCATATTTTTGAGAACAAGGGGTGTCGGAGCAGAGACCCCAAACCTATTTATTAAACAATGGGTCATCCCCTCACAGAAGGGTCACAAGGGTGAGTCAACCAGGGTGTAGTTATAGAACTGATGAAACACACAATATCCCTCTGGTTCCTTGAGGCTTCCTCACCCCGTACTATAATGACCCAAGTCCTGCCTTCCACTTCAGGCTAGACCAGAGCCTGTACACTGGTACAGGTAAGAGCTCATGACACACGGAATCCAGGTCAGATAAACCCCTCAGGAACAGAAATGTGAGGAGTGAAACCAGGAGGGTAGGTGTAAAGGGGAGAGAGAAGGGGAGGAAGGGGGAACCGATCACCATGATTGACATATAACCACCACCACCACCCCAAGGTGGAAGAACAACAGAAACCATGGGGAAGGGAGACAGTGGTTGGTTTAAGGGGTCACGAGGATGGGAGGTGGGGAGAGGAAAAATGAGGAGCTGATCCCAAGAGCTCAAGTAGAAAGTAAATGTTTAGAAAATATTGATGGCAACATATGTACAAATATGCTTGATACAATTGATGTATGGATTGTTGTAAGAGCTGTAAGAGCTCCCAATAAAATGATCTTAAAAAAAAAAAGTTAAACATATAATTACCACACAACCTAGGAATCTTGCTCCTAAGTTTATGCCCCAAAGACTTGTAAGTAGGAATACAAACAGATAACTGTACATTAATGTTCACATCATTCACCATAGCCAAAAGTAGAAACAACCTAAATGTCCATGGGAAAATGTTGCCTATCTGTAGAAGAATCCATAAACAAACTCTGGTACATATACACGATGGAATATCACACATCCTTAAAAATCAATGATGATTCTGTCAAACACCTCATGACATGGACAAAATCGGAGGACATTATGCTCAACAAAGTTAGTCAATCTCATAGTAAATGCTTAATGACACCATCATTATAAAGGAAAAAATAAAAGACTTTTTTTACAGCAAAGGATAAGACTTTAAAGACGACAAGGCCAAGGACAGGGTAGGGAAAGGGAAAGGGAAGGTACAGGAAAGTAACAAAGGTGGGAGGGTGGACAGATATAAAAAAAGAACAAAACAGAAACACATTTATGGGGGTTTAATAGGATAATATCCCTTTTGTTGAGATGGGCTGTGCAATAATATATATAGCATGTTTTTTCTTTGTACGTGTTATAGGGGAAACGTGCTAAAAATTAATTAATTAATTTAATTAGAGAGGGAGGTCACAGTCTTAAGAACCCTCCAGATTCCTTACTCATCAGACCTCAACATTGGTCTGAGTGGTTATCAAAGGAGGACATGGAAAACTGAAATGGACGTAAGAATTATTTTGTGACACACAGCTCGTTTCAAATGACAACAAAAAGAGAAAATGTGTGGAAATGACAAATATTTTGGTACATATGTTGCAATAATAATTTTTAAATGACAACAGCATTTACAATAGTAAAATATCAAAATAATAAATGAAATTATTGAAATGCTGGTGCACTGTACACTATAACATTTACCTGGAAAACAGGAGGATGATTTATGATGTAATCCAATATAATGATAATGATGTCTCTAAAGTGAACCACAGACATATATAAACCATAGATATATGAATGGATTTTTTTTCTAAAAAATATGTAAAGTTTATGTATATGTGTTACTTAGTTTGCTTGAGGAGATATTCTTCCATTAATATTCCATATATTTTATATTTACCTTTTCCTTTGACCACTTAATTTTTATCACTGTAAAACAAAGATGTAAGCATATAAAAGAGAGCAGAGATGGTCAACTTTGGAACACCGAAAATTACAATGTAGAAATCACATGGTTCCCTAGCTGTTTTATTCACTTTCTTTTCTTTTCACTGTGCAACCTGTTTCAGTGCCTGAAGCCCATGAGGCAAGGCCAGGCAATAGTTTGGAGCTACAGTTCACTCTGGCATAAGACACTATGAGAGGCTCCTGGGGACAGGTCTGCCATAAATCCAAACCCATGCACATGAATGGATTTTTGAGCTTTTAAATGCTACTTGATTAAAGCCCTAGTAAAAGGACAATTTGTTCTTGTGACATGGCCTTGCTTGGTACTCACCTTCATGAGTTGAGCACTGAAGATATGGGTGCTAGATCAAAGTGTGGTGAAGAAATAAGATGGTGTCCAGCTATCAGGAAAAAAAAACCAACCCAAAAACAAAGCAGTAACTGGCTTCTTAAAGGCTTGCCTCAAAACAAGCAGCCACCTAAGTGAGGAGTCAGCTAAGTCGACACAGAAGAAGCACACCAGCCTGTGTGAGCCAAAGATTGTAAATAATAAAATCCAAACCCAGAGGAGGGAATGGTACCAGAGCCTAAATTCTAACCACCCAGCTTACAGAACTTTATGGATGAGAGGGGAACCCCAAAATTCATTTGCAGGTTCCCCAAGTGGATTGAGTCTCTGGTAAATCCCCACTAATCATAGTCTAGGGATGTGAATAGCCTTAATATCAGACAAAGACCATGGTAAAGTGGATTTTAGCAGTTGTAATTAGGCTGGAATGTAACACCTTTTCATCAGATCTCCCTTTTGACCCATTTTGAATTTACTTTGGTTTTTAAATATTTTCTGATTTTTTTCTAATGAAGTTTTTCTCTGTTTTATTTGGTCACTTTTCTGGGTCTTTTTTTGTCCTTGTTTTTCTCTAGGGAAGTCAGTCTGTAAAGACAGCAACTGGATTAATAATGACCGGGGGCACACAAGGGGAGATGGGGTGAGGAGAATGAGGGGTCAACAGCAAATGGATACAAGAAAAAAATATTCCAAAGTTCACTGTGGGGAGTGCGGAGGATAGTTCAGATGGCGGTAAGCCAGGTGGCTGCTGCCACTGCAATTTGTCACCAGAGGAAAGATGGCGGATCTGGAGGAGCAGTTGTCCGATGAGGAGGTGTGTATAGCAGCAAAATTCATCATTTGTGTCCCTCTAGGAGAATTTCAAGTGGTGTTTAATGATGTTTGGTCACTGCTTAACCATGATAATCTTCTCAAGGAAAGATCAGCCTACACATTTGCACTGTATAACTTGGACCAGTTTACTCCAGTGAAAATTGACAGTTAATCAGGTAGTAATAACAGAACATGGTGACTTGGGAAATGGAAAGTTTTTGGAGTCCCCAAACAGGATGTTTTTCAAATTTGATCACCTAAGAAAGGAAACAATTGTTCCGAGACCTTACAAAGCAGAAAATGCAGTGGAATCCTGAAGAACTTCACTAGAGACCTCTCTGAGATTGTATGTGAAAGAACATTACCCAAATGGGGTCTTCCCTCTACATGGTAACAAAAGGCAAGCAAACAAAAAACCATGCATATAAAGCCATCAATTCCAAGCAAAACACTTTTGGAATGGTCATTGGCAGTCAGAGTGGAAGTGTACAATCACTCCTTCAACCCCTCAAATGGTTTTTATCTGGAAAATTCAGGTTCATTATTATGAAGTGGCAATGTTCAGCTAGTGACTCATAAAGACATACAAGACCCCCTAACAATGTCTAATGAAGTGTGGGCAACAAAATAATTTATCAAGATTGTAGAAGCTGCAGAAAATGAATACCAGATTGCCATCAGTGGGCAGTAAGAATTACCAGACAACGTCGGACACTACTTTCAAACTCTTACATCGACATTGCCAGTTACACGCACCAAGATCGATTGGAATAAGATCTGAGTTTCAAGATCAGCAGAGATGCCAAATGCATATGATGAACATTGGATCTTTTTATGCGTTTGTGTTTATGAAAAAAATTATTGCGAAAGTATTTGAAATTGCTAGTTGGGCTGTCGCCACTTAAATCATTGTAATTAATTAGCTTGGTTAGAGCACAAAGCTTCACTAGTCAGCCATTATTTTTTACTTCTTTTGTTCAGAGAGGATTGAAAATCAGTTTAATTTCAATGTCATTTACTTTCGGTTAGACCTTTCTTCAAATGAAGAGATGATTTCTGTAGTTTATGGTTAAATATTTTTCAAGTATTTCAAAAACATTTTACTCACTGTCACGTTAAAATCATTGTCTTTTGGCTTATGAAGTGGGTAACTTTTGACATTAGCCTAGTTCTTTTTAAAAAAAATTATTTTATTGGGGACTCTTACAGCTTTCATCACAGTCCATAAATCCATCTATTGTGTGAAGCACATTTGTACAAATGTTGCCATTATCATTTTCAAAACATTTTCTTTCTACGTGAGCCCTTGATATCAGTTCATTTTCCCCTCTCCCACCCACCCTCTCTCCCTCATGAACCCTTGAGAATTTATCTTTTTTTTTCATGTCTTACACCAAACCCTGTCTCCCTTCACTCACTTTTCTGTTCTTTGTCCCCATGGGAGGGGGTTATGTGTAGGTCATTGTGTTCCATTCGCCCTTTGGCCCTCCACCTTCCCCTTCCCCTCCTGGTATCTCTACTCTCATTATTGTTCTCGAGGGAATCTGTCCTGGATTCCCTGCATTACAAGCTCTTAACTGTACTAGTGTATATGCTCTCATCTAACCAGATTTGTAAGGTAGAATTAGGGTCATGATAGTGGGGGAGAGGAAGCATTAAAGAACTAGAGGAAAGTTGTATGTTTCATCAGTGCATACTGCACCCTGACTGGCTCATCTCTTGTGACCCTTCTGTGAGGGGATGTTCAATTGCCTACAGATGGCCTTTGGGTCTCCACTCCACCCTCCCTTTCATTCACAGTGATATAATTTTTTGTTCTGGGTCTTCGATGCCAAATACCTGATCCAAACGACACCTCATGATCACACAGGGTGGTGTGCTTCTTCCATGTGGGCTTGGTTGCTTCCCAGCTAGATGGCCGCTTGTTTATCTTCAAGTCTTTAAGGCCCCAGGCGCTATATCTTTTGATAGCCGGGCACCATCAGTTTTCTTCACCACATTTGCTTATGCGACCAATTTGTCTTCAGCAATTGTGTCAGGAAGGTGAGCATCACAGAATGCCAGGTTATTAGGAAAAAATTTTCTTGTGTGGAGGGAGTACTTCAGTAGAAGCCCAATGTCCTTCTGCTACCTTAATACTAAACCTATAAATATATATACATAGACCTATTTCCCTATCATTATGAATAAATATATTTGTATATATACATGCCTGTATTTAGACCTCTGTAAATGTCCGTTGCCTCCTAGTTCTTTCCTCTATTTCCTTTTACTTTCCTCTTGTCCCACTATCATGTTTGACCATCATTTGAGTTTCAGTAATTCCTCTTGGTTACATTGCATTTGATCAAGCTCCATCAGGCATCCTATACCCTTCTCGCCAATGATTTTAGATCACTTGTTGTTCCCTTGTCCCTGGGTTTGTTGGCACCCCCATTCCTTTCTCCCACCTCCCCCTCTTCCTTGTTCCCCCAGACCATCGGTCCCTTTGTTTTCTCCTCTGGATTGTGTATCCCACCTACCATATCTAGATAGACATGCAGAAACAATAATACGTACAAAAGCAAAACAAATGGCAACAACAAAAAAGAAAAGCGTATAAATAGTTCTAGGTCTATTGACCTTTATGTTTTCCAGTCGAGTCTGATGGGGTGTCACGTCCTGGCCCCAAAGTCTATTTTTGGTATTCCTTGGGGACTTCATTGCGTTGCTCTCCTTGCTGCTCTGCTGCACGGCCTTAGTGTTTCACCCCAGTGTGGTGCGGTCAGATCAGGCCCAATCCCTGCATCGTGTTTCCAGTGTTGGCCCCTGTAGTGCTATGGGTCAGTGAGGGACATTGTGTCTCATGGTGGGGATGGCACTATGGTCCTCTCTGTGCATTGGCTGCTCTGAGCAGGAATATCGTCCCTGGTAGCCCAGTTCTTTTTAATGGGATCAATAATGGACGTCTAGTTGAAGGTGGCTGATGGATTTAGCCATATATGCTGCCAAAGAAGTCGTCTACCTTTCCCCCTCACTTCTATGAATGTAAGACTGAGATTAGAGCAAAAAATGTTGGGCATAACAATTGTGTTCAAACCTTATGAGAATGTTATTTAGCAAGTTTAGTGTTTAACTGAACTTCTAAAAACAGGGTCAAGGTCTAATGCTGTTTTGAGATTCTGGAATCAAATGAGAATACATATTTTTTTTAAAAGTTCATTGTGGTGATGAATGTACAACTCTTCTTAATGTGATTGAAATATTGAATTGTATGATATGCTAATTTTGTTAGTGAAACTATTTTAAAAATAAGAAAATACTTTAAAACATACCTGAAAGAAATTAAGGAAAGGCTGTATCAATGGAAAAAGCATTCCATGATCATGGATTAAAAAAAAACAAACAACTCACCACCATCGAGTCAATTCTGACTCATAATGACTCTATAAGACACAGTTGAACTGCCCCTGTGGGATTCCAAGACTATAACTCTTTACATGGATTAGAAAAATTTAATATTGTTATGATGTCAGTTCTACCTAAAGCAAGATATAAATTCAACATAAATACTATCCAAATTCCAACAGCCTTTATCTTTGCAGAAATGGAAAAACGAATCCTCAAACTCATATATCACAAGGTGCTTTGAATACGTGAAACACTCTTGAAAAACAGAACAAAATAAGCTTCCTGATTTTAGAATATGCTGCAAAGCTACAGTGATTAAAACCATTCAGTACTTGTATCTTAATACTCATAGACATGTAAATCAATTGAATATAATTGAAAGTTCATATATGAACCTACACATCTATGGCCAATTGATTTTCAGCAGAACACCAACTCTATTCAATGAGGAAAGAATATGAAGGGGTACCCCCCCCCTAAAAAAAAGCCAAACAGATTTATTTATTTATTTATTTTGTAGAAGCTTGTCTTTATTTCCCATCAACCTAATTTCCATGGAGGAACAGTTTAGGACCACTCAGTGGTTGTTCCTACCCACTCAGTGGCCTGAGCAGTGGGAGCTGCGGACCAGTCTTCAGTTGCGGGCTGAGCGCTCCAGTCTTCATTGGGGAACCGCTGGATCGG